GTGTGTGTGTGTGTGTGTGTGTGTGAGTGTGTGTGTGTGAGTGTGCGTGTGTGTGAGAGAGCGTGTGTTTTATCATTATTTGTTTTATTCTGAAGTATCGCGTCAAGTAGACTACTTCCCCCCACCCCCATAAGCCTCGAGAGACACTTCTACCAGTGTGCATGAACATCAGTTGACCCCATCAATGAAAGGTTCTCCACACACGTAAAACTCACTCACACGCTGAAGTCATGTGATGCGAACGTACAATTATAACAGTTATACTGACGGGTTTTGATGACGGGCCTGACGAAGCAGAACTTGGACAAAACTTGTTTTGAAAGTGACAGCAGAACTATTGATAATAATGATATTTTGTATGTCACATTTGAAACAGTTATCAGGCCATCATCAGATAATTCTGAGTGGAAATAAAAGTTAAAGTAGATCTTGAAAATGTCCCAATTTGGAATGCCAAATCGATTCTACTTCCATTATAGCTGAAATAACACGTACGAGCAAAGATCTAACACAACTTGGGGCAAGTCAACAACTAAATCCGGCATCGATATTTCTGAAAATAGTGCTCCGAGTTCCTGCTGACAAAAATTTAAAGGTGCTTCTCACGACATAGAAGATGGCAAAGTAAGTTTTTTTTTAAAATCCAGTGTAACAGACGGCACACAAAAATTGGGTTACACGCGATCGAAATCCGGAAAATCAGGATGCTTGAGATTTAGGGGAAAAAAATCAGGATATCCCGATTAAATCGGGATGAGTAGCAGTTCTGCATACACAAAAAAAAACAACTTTAAAGAACTGAAATTCATGTGTTTAAACTTACAGGTATGTAGATAATTTAGGTTTACTTATACAATATAAAGCATGCAAGACAAAGAAAGGAATAGAATACAGGGAAGATTTAAGCCTACTTGAAAAAAAAAAACATACACAAAAACATCAACTTCGAAGAACTGAAATTTGAGAGTTTATACTTACAAGTATGCTGATAATTTACATTGACTAATATAATATAACACACAGAAGACAAAAAAAGGAATAGAATACAAGGAAAATTTACTTGAAAAACACTAAGTCATATTCGGGTAAAGTTAAGTTTAGTGCCTGACATCTTCAATTATGTCCTTTTTTTTTTTTGTAGATTTTTTTTTTTGCACCCATCAACACAATTTAGATCAGTAAGGAGGTAGGCTTCCAAACCTGCAAAGCAGGGCCAACCGGGGCTCAGAGCGACACAAAATCCCAGCAGAAAGACCAAGATGCTAAATAAAGATTTTGTCCCCACTCGAGTACTGAACTCGGGTTTCATGTATGCAATAGCAAAGCGCCTGACCGCTACACCATAGATGCCGATCTGACGTCTTCAAGCATCACAATGATCACAATCCGCTGTTTCCTGTTCCTGTAAGACACAGATATAATCCTACTGTGAACTCCCCATCCCTGGCGACTTCAGATGTGGCGTACTTGATCATGTTGTTCCAAATAGTCATTGATGGCCTACTTACTGTGGATAGGGGTCTGGATATAGAGGGGAGTACAGAAGACGAGTCTTGTTGGTTACTGCAAGAGTTTGCACATTCCCGCAAGGCCTTCCCACTGTAATGTGAAGAAGAAAATATGGACAAAAAGTGTATCTGTAAAATGTATTTGTAAAAATAAAATTCAAACTTTCGCAAATACTCACACACAAATGTACTTGAACATGTGAGCCAATACCCCTGATCTTCTGGTAGGAAAGATAAACACCTAGCCTTCTCGGACAAAGTAGAAAAATCTCGGAGGCCCCGTGTGCAAGTTGCGCATGTTAAAGATCCCTTGGTGGTTTAAAATCGATAAGACTAGGCTTTGATCACCACCTGGGCAAAATTCAAAATTTCCTACAAACTGAAAATGTTTAATGTGTCCTGCGCGCTCAAACGACCTTATGCGGTTGCGAGCACCGTAAAAGACTCACCAATTTTTAAAAAAAGAGACTCAAACAACAGAAGTTTTCTGGAGCCTTTAACATTTTTCTAAGAATTATACGCTTTTATACATACACAATCATTTATTTCCTCACCCACCCTATGTGTTTCATTTTTATTCTGCTGTCCCTGCACTTCAACCCATACAGCAGTTCATTATGAGCCACAGACCTATTTACCTAAAAATTTTGTCTCTCATCTCTTTCGTTTTAAAAAATGCAAACAAGACGTTCAGTGGTCAGTAAATTCATGCACAAAAACATGATAACCATAGCTCAAGAACAGGGTGTCAAACTGAATCTTCATTCATCATTCACCTTTTCACCCTGGTATAGGATATATGGGCAATTTTCTCCACCTCCAGCCACCTGTGTCTTATATCACCGTAGCTGACAAAACGCCTTTTTTTATTTTTGGCGCCAAATTTGTTTATTTGTTAATTCGAAAGCCAGATCAGTTAACCTTCTTGTGAGAAAAAATCAAAGTGAAACTGTGACTATTTTTTTTTTATAAATCAGAATTCACATTTCGGAAGTACACCTTTTTTTAATGGTTTCGCCGACAAAAGCCTCTTTATCTTGAAACTGCTTTGATTAAAGAAAAGGCATTATGTCAGCTTACGGCAGATATGTGCCGGAGTGTCATCCTGCAGTAACTAGCTATGGTGTGTTAGATAACTTATGTGTAGCTATACTAAGCTGTGTGCTTTATTTTCTTAAAATATTTTATATCCACATTATACAATAATACCAAATTCCCCACTAAGATAATAATTATCATATCTTTCTTTTTCTTTTCTAAGTTGTAATAATAATAAACGTCACGAGTTTTGGTGCTAGGATTGGTTTCTAGTTCTGTCTAGAATTTTTTTGGGGGGCTTCCTCGGACAGAATCAATTGTACATACTTTTAAAATTAGACAAGTGGATACTACATTTCTGGTGCTGCATTGTTATTTTACAAAGAAAAAAAATTAGAAAAACTGACATAGGTGTGCATATAGTTGAAGAGCACCAAACGATAAGATAATACAAAATTTCTCCTTACCACGGCTCACTTCAATGTCGAAGCCATCACCTTCCCCATGTAGACCAGTATTGTACTCCAAAACAACAGTGTCTTTAAAGTACAGCTCCTCAGCGTAGGTTTCTCCACACCAGGTGATGTAGTCTGGGTGAACATTTTAAAGTCTTTAGTTTCATGCCACATGTGTCAACATGCAGGTGTATAGTGGTTTGTTTGTTATTATTTTGTTTTTTTGTTTTTTGTTTGTTTGTCTGAGTAAATAGCATATATTTAAATGTTGTAATTATTCTGGTGTGTGTGTGGGGGGGGGGGGAAGGAAAACAGATAGACATAAACAATAGAGGTAAGGGAAAGAAGTGGAACCTACTAGTAGTGCCTCAAACTGCTCACCCTACGGAACAGGTCATCAGAAAATCATGCAAACTTCATCTTAGAAAAAAAACAAACACAAATCTATAACACATGAGGCATGCCTTAACTGAGTGCTCAGGCCCCATAATTTTCTGATCAGCATTCCCAAACTGTGCTGAAAAGAAATTCATTTTTATAACACTGTTGATCAAATATTACTAATATAAAAAATGTAATGATCTGTGAAGCAGACTTTTGACTTTAAAAGTAAACATACTTTCCAAATTTTAAAAATCCCCAGAAAAGACAGTAAAGCAAAC